GGGGTGGTGGAGGCGGATGGATCAGAGGAAGGGCAGGGTCAGACCTGAAGCCGGGGGGGGAAGGGGGTGGAGCGGGGTCAGACCTGCACTGGGTCCCAGTCAGCCCCCCTTCCCCTGTCATTCTTGACAGGCAATTTGCTAGTTATAATATAGTTTCCTAATGATTTCACCGAGTAAATTTTTATTTGTAAAATTCAGTACCAAGTTACTAATGTTTTTTCTATACTGAGAGGTGAAGAGAAAGCCCATTGCACAGCATACATATTAATCTAAACTTAAACCCATTGAGATCAGAGGGATTTTTGCCTAGGTGAGCAGAGAGCCATTAGGAAATACAGTATAACCTATTTAAAATTAGGGTATCATAGAAACTCTAAGAAGGACATAGGATAGAGTCCTTCTTAACATATCTTTTCTGTCAAAAAACTGTACTAAAGGGTGCTGCAGTAAAGCAGGCTGGGCACATGCTGAGCATGTTCTAATAAGCACATGTGAGACAGAGCTGTTGCTGTATCATTCCTGGGTGTGTTGAGAGCAGAGCAGGTATGCTGTGCTTCACTGCATCCCTCTCTAACGTGCATCTCTGGTGGTTCAGATTCATCTACTATATATCCATGATATCTTGATTCCTTCTCTGACTCTAGTAGTACTCTCCCTATTACAGCTTTCCATTTAATCTATCCTCACTGTTCTTCCCTAGATACCAGGGAGTTCAAGCTCTTCCTGATCTTTCATTTTAGCATGATGCTGTTGCCACTGGAAATAGTAACAAGGCCATGTCTTGTTTCACAAACTAGAAACTGTAATGGAAAATGAAATAAAATTAATCTGGGGATGCCAAAATGACCTAAAACTGAGCTTTTAAACCTTTCTGCACTCCCAAATGTGTAGTTCAAGTAAGGAATACTCACTGTTTATCTTCATCTCCAATCTTCTCATGAAGTTTACACTGATACATAAACAGATTATTCAAAGCCCAACATGCAGCCTCCTGAATTTAAAACAAGAGCAGAACAAAATAGTTTTAAAACAAATACAATACTAAATGGAGAAAATTTGTTTTTTAAAATCTTTTTTCTAAAATAGTTTCATCTCATCACTTTCTAGTGGAGGTTTTCACGTCAAAACAGATAAAAACCAACAAAATATAATAAAAGCTTTAATTTAGCCATAAGTATTCTAATTGCTATAACAACAGAAGCCCTAATTTCATTGTTAGTGAGATGCATAAACAGTGTTTTTATTCTTTAATTGTGGGATATATTACAAATACCCATACAAAGATTCACACACACGAAAGCACGTGCATGTCACATTCCAATTATTTGTTGTTTTATTACACAAAATAAAACATATATCAAGTTGACAGAATTTCTAAAAAATTTCTCTGGCTTTCCCTCTTCAGAGAGAGGTGGTTAGCAGTGTTTGTAATCACTACCACATTGTACTAGAAACCAACTACTGCTATAGCTACCTCTACACCAGTAGATTTATTAGTGTGTTTAGGATGAGAACTATCAGCTACACTGCAGTCAAGCTCTACTTTACAGCTGAATCTGCTTTGATCACACTGACTGGCATGCACACTTTAAGGGTCTGGATTTACAATACAATCCTAAAACTGTAGCCAATAAAATTTAGAAGAGCTAGACTCTGACCCCACTCCAACCTGATACAATTCCTACCCCAAGCCAAGCACAACAGAATCCCATTGGTTGTCACCTACAGCTCCCCAGATTGAACACCTCAGACACATAATTAATGACCTCCAACCCCTCCTAGGAAATGACAACTATTTCCAGTAGCCACAGGGACACACCTGTCTTGAGTTACAGATACCCCGCCAACCTTTAACAGCACTGCTCCAGCAACAGACTACCTAAATCAGGGGCGAGCAATTATTTCAATGGGAGGGCTGTTTAACGAGCTTTGGCGAGCTGTTGAGGGCCGCAAGGGCAGCTCCGCCCCCTGGTCACCATCTTGGTACTGGAAGTCCTACCCCCCTGGATTCCTGACCTTTGTCACCAGAGGTCCCTGCCCTTGCCCTGGAAGTACTCCTTTTGGGAAGTTTGCCATCTTGGAACCAGAAAAAAAATACAAATGATATACTACAACAATGTATTTTAATTTTATTTTTAAAATATTATTTTGTCCTGATTTGTGTGTGTTTGCATCATGTATATAGAGGTAATTGCATAATAGCTCAAAATGAAGTCTTACTTTTGTACATTGGGGGGGTATGGAGTTTGTGGGGGGCTGTGGGTATATGTGTGGTGTGGGGATATGTCTGGATGTATCTCACTGCGTGCTCAGGGGACAGCAGGACATGCCCCCATGGGATGATACCTGGGCCAGGCGAGACCAAGGGACCGGCCACAGGCTGGACAAAGCCCCTCTGCAGGCCAGATCCAGCCTGCTGGCTGGATTTTGCCCACCCCTGATCTAAATCCTATCCTCATCAAGGTACCATAGAGACCAGCCCAGGAACCCTGTGAGCAGGATGTGCTCAGCTAAACAGATGGGATAGGGCTACAACGAAGTGGGGAGTGGCGTCCAAGAGTGGGATAGGCAGGCAGGGCCGGGGCCAGGGCCCGGATCATGGGATGGTGACAGCACGGGGCTGGGGCCCATGCAGAGTTGCGATCTACCTGCTCATCCCTGTAATGGGCACCGATTCCATATGCAAGGACATGCGGGGAACAGATCACAGCTTTGCTGTGGGCCCCAGCCTCATGCTGTCACTGCCCCGCAATCCCGGCCCTGGTTCTGCCCATCTGTCCCACTCCAGACACTGCTCCTTACCCACCTGTGGCCCCGTTCCAGCCATCCAACTAAGTGTGCCCTGCCTCTGGGGGTCCCGGGCCGGTTTCCATGGAGACCCCATCTTCCTGCTCCTCCTGGTGTCCTGAGCCGTGAGTGTGGGGAGAATGGGCTAGGATGCCCAGACAGAAGGGCTGGGATCAGCAGCAGGAGCAATGGCAGAGACACTGGCAGCGGCAGCTGGGCAGAGTAACCTGCCACCACCAGGCCTGCCAGGAAACTGAGTCCAGCAGCCACACTGTTCCTGCTCCACCACATGCCTGGGGGTGATGGGACTGGCTGAATGTGCCACGGTCCAAGCTGCCTCGTGACTGGGCTGGGTGGGGCTGAGGGACCTTTTGTGGGCCAGAGAGAATCCCTTGGCAGGCCAGATCCAGCCCACAGGCTGTATTTTGCCCACCCCTGGTTTACCTGGATTAGCTTTTATACTCTATGTCCCTCAATGTGTTAATTGCTTTGTTTTTCTCTTTTACTCATCCTGCCTCTCCCAGCATTCCCCGCAACTTTTCCTCTTTCTTCCCTACCCTTTGTATTCTAATCACAGCCCACTGTAGAGATGACGTAACACAGAAGTGACAATCACTGATTCCTAACTAATGTCAACAGAGGAAAAAAATATTACGGTCAAATACGAATGCAAAGAACAAAATAATAGACAGCATAATGCTGACCAAATCTGACCAATCAGTGCATCCACGATACGTCATTTTTGCCTTGTGTGTCAGCTACTCGAAATAACCATATGATACATCATTTATACAAATTCTCCTTTGTTATCAATAAATGATATTACTTCTAAACATTACTTGACATTCAGCACTGATTTGAGGAAAAATTAATTCCTGTTTCCAATTACATACAGAAGATGATTCTGTACTATAAACAAACATCACTCTTACAAAAGTGTAATTTGAGGACAACAAAACAGATTGTATCCCAATAAACATTTGATTTTACTGCCTGTTGGGTTTCAATTTTTTTTAAATAAAGCATATGATTCCATTCTGAGTTCTCTTGATTCTCAATATCACAACATCCTCTATGGCACAGTAAGCCTTTATGTGAAAACGAATGGAGTAATAACCATTAAACTTTTCATGTGAAACCATTATCAGTAATTCATCCTACCCAACGTCTTTGTTTCTCTAGACTATATGTTTGGTACATTTGAGGGAAAACTATTTTGCTGAAAACCTTAACTAATGCTAAATTAATTAATTCTATTTTTTTGCACCCATATCAACCAGAAATTCTCACCTGTACTTCTATGTTTCTTCGGTGTAATTTTAATGCATTGTAGCACGCTTCCAACCAACATATTTTTTCTTCTTCCTCCTCCTCTTTTCTCTCCTCTAAGTCTTGATTTAAAAATATTGTTTCAGCTTGAAATGTAAGACATTTACACTTAGTTCTTATTGTGAAAATACAAGATTAACATTTGATCCTAATGAAGTATACAGTTGCTTATATGCCTAAATCAGTTGAAGCTAATTATACCAGAAAAAGTGGCAAATCCCTTTCTTTTGAGAAGGGGAAGCAAGAAGCCTTTTACATGAGCTCTGTTATATATCTGAATAAGCTGTCATTATGAAAAGATTTCAGAAGCTCATTACAATGTGTTCAGTTAAGTACACAATAATATATTAGTCAATAATTCTAACAGAAAAATGTATGTTCATGCATTTATTGTCCTTTTTGCATGCAGGTAGTAAAATATGGCTGTATTACATTTGTATGTCATCATTTACTATAAATTCACTTTGATCTCCCAGCACTTTCTTGTCACTAGGAAAAGATGGACAAACTGAAATTGCTAAGACAGAAGTACTTGGCAAAACTAAAATAAAATTCCATTTAATAGAAGTTATTTTACAGTAAGTCATTTTTGGCACTTGTGCACAGTTGTTTTATAATTGTGAAGGAATATCAGTATGTATGTTAGCTGCTATCTTTGGCACTCACTGACCTCAACCTGAAAGAATGAGTAATGGATACACTCTCAACATCAAACTTAGCTTAAATGTCTGCATTTCCAATTCTAATGCAACAAGGAATTTTTAAACTAAGAAGGGATTATACTGTACGCAATCTATGAGTGGATACGTTTGTTAGGGCTCATCGATGTTGCATACCAACTAAAGGTTGCATAAGCAATGCTGGTTAAGGGGTATGGGTACTGCCATGCAACAATAACAAACAGGGTGAAACGTGTTCACGATTGTTAAACTCTATTCCACTTTAAAAACTGCATGTAAAAGAAACAGAGATAGTATAATTTCCTGTTATTTCTTAATTCCTATCACAATGGCTGCCATTAAAAATAGTCATGGGTTTATTCAGCGACTTTATATAAATAGGAAGGAATTTACTTACTGAGAAGAGCTAAACAACCAAGAGCTGCAGCTTGTAGTTTTGCATTTGCCGAGTATCTTATAACAGCACTCACAATGACTTCATGTACTTCATTTAAAACCAAAATATTGAAAAAGTTTCCTAAAAATAAATACACAAGTTAGCTGAATCTGTTATCTAGAAAAATTATGGCCCAGATCCTATTCCACCTAATAGATATGGCCAAACATTATGTGCTACATTTCAGGTGACTCCACAAAGGGAGATGCAACTTTTACGTAGAACTGGAAGGGACTTGTAAGATCATCAAGTCCAGTCCCCTGCTATGGGAAGGAAGTTATTGGGCTCAGATGAGCTCAACAAGGTGCCTGTCCAGTCCCATCTTGAACATCTCCAAGGAGGGTGACTGCACCACCTCTGCTGGGAGTGTGTTCCAGATTCTGGTGACCATTTCAGAGAAAAAATTTTACTTATGTCTAGCCTGAATTCATCCTCTATTAGTTTATGCCTGTTGGTCTTCATCCTCCCTTGAGGTCCTTCCTGAAGAGTTGCTTCCCTAGTTCTTGATGCTCACCCCTGATGTACTTGTAGGTGGCTATCAAGTCACCTCTTAGCCTTCTGTTACTTGAACAGACCCAGTTCCTGAAGTCTCTCCTCACAGGACCTGCCCTCCATGCCCTTAGCCTTTGTACCCTCTTGAGCTTATCCACATCCTTCTTGAACTTTGGTGCCCAGAACTGGACACAGTACTCCAGCTGAGGCCTCACCAGTGCTGAAGAGAGAGGGAGAAGCGCTTCTCTGGATTTATTGGCCGCACATCAGCTGATGCGCACCAGAGTTCTATTTGCCCTTCTGGCAACTTCACTGCACTATTGGCTCATATTCATCTTCCAGTTGATCATTCATGTGCTGTGCCAGACCATGGACTACAACCCATTGTCTACTTATTGTGAGGGTTCTTCTTACCCAGGTGAAGGACCTTGCACTTCTCTTTGTTCTGCCCACGAATCCAGGCTGTCAAGGTAGT